GGATGACCAAAAGCAGTGAGGGGGTGAGGAACACAGCATACAAATGCCAACAATGTTAGTGGCACCCTGCACAAAGGCTTTCACCAATGAGTGAAAGGCAAGCAAACTTTGAAAAAAATACTTAGGGACAACATTTTTCATGCTTAAGGCCAAGCACTTATCCAGACTTGGCTAGAGGAAAAATAGGATTTATCCAGAAGGTACCCCTTCTGAAGGCTGATAGGAAAAGATCACTGACTAAGCAAATTATTTTTCCTAGGAATCAAAGGTTTGCCTGTAGGGACTTTTGCTTTCTTTTCCTAGGGTAAGTGAGTACTCACTTTCCTCCCATGGCTTCCTTGATGTAAGTGTCCAAGGAATCGGCAAATAGACATTGCCCTTCAAAAGACATGTGCACAAGATGCTTCTTACAAGAAAGCTCTATAGACCAACACCTGAATCAAATGATCCTTTGCATATGTACTGAAAGGGGGCTCATTTTGCATATTTGTAGCATAGCATAAGACTACAGACAAGAGCTCCTGTTGATGGAGCACAGATGGATCCATAGGAATGGAACTATAGTCCCAAGCCATATTTTTAGAGCAGACAGCTAATGTCTGACACACAGATTGCGACAACAGCGTGTACAACAGGACCAGCCAGAGAAACTAGTGCCTTGAAGAGGTCTTCTAACCTCTTATCCATAGGGCTTCTGAAAACAAGGACATTCATGAGGGACCCTTAAGGTTTTGTTAAAGGCAGGAAAAGGCTGAGTCCGTGAGAGGGATTGACTATTTTTAAAACACCTCTAAAATAGGGTACTGCTGAGCAAAGTGCTTGGGAGGGCTGATTTTTTTTTTCAGGATGGAGCCAGTAACCACATAAGAAATGCTCCATCCAGAAACGAATGTTCAAGAAGCGTTTCTTGGTTGGCAAAGGCATATTTAAAGGAACCCAAGGTGGTGACCTTTGAACAGGTCGATGCAGTCTGCTCCAGGGCAAGACACCTGCATACTGCATCAATGGGGTTAGAAATAGTATTGGGAGGGATAGCAACTGATTGGGTATCCACCCGTGTGGGGACCTCTTAACCAGATGAGGAACCCTCCTTTTCAGGAAGCACAGAAGCTGTAAGAGGAGAATCAAAGATGGGTAAAGGCAGAGGGAAACTGCTTGCATCTCTTGCAATCTGAGCGCTCATGTGCAGATAACCTACCAATACAATCTGACATATTGGCTGATAATTTATCTCTAGAAAGACAGGAGGGTATATACCAGATTGGACTAAGGATGTCTCTGAAAAGGAAGGGGACCAGAGGTCAGGACTATCAAAATCAGGACAGTTAGGGAATACGCTGCAGTCCCCCTGAGATGTTAGCGGAGTATGCACTGACACGACCCACTGACTTATTCCCTTTGTGTCTATGATCCGTCAGATTACTCAGTAAGGGTTTTCATGACCTGTACTGCAGAGCAGAAAGGATTATGCCTTTTGTGACCAGTCACTGTAGGCAGTGGGAGCCCAGAACAGCCAAGGATCACTGTGTTGTGGATAGTGTTAAGGCAAGGACCCAATTGCTCAGTATGGAAGTTGCTGCACAGGTGTAATGGCTGTCCTAGCCAACAGATTTAACTTAAACACACAAATGGCACCAATTTCCAACCTAAAAGTAAACAACTGATGACTTGCGTTTTCTGGCCACAACGGACTCCTAAAAAGTGTTGCAGTCTGCACTTCTCTGTTAATGCTATACGGTCCGAAGCAACAGCACCCTGGGCTCCCAAAGACAGGGCACAGCCCAGACTTACCACAGCCCCTGGTCCTCTCAGTAGGTGAAGGGTGGATGTTACGGACAAGCCCCATCCAGATCTTTGGCTCTCCTGGAGGGTGTCATCAGAGGCAGGGTTCAACTGAATGATGGACCATGGCCCTGGAACTGTATAACACCCTGAAGAAAATTAAATGAGGTGTACCACATGCCAAGGTGAGCACCTACACAGGATCCATTGTCCAAAGCAACATTACAGGCTTGCATTTAAAGTAACATTTAAGCATGCATTATTTATGGAACTTTACTGTTTTGAGTTTTCTATTTCTGCTTGGAGTTTGCGGTCAAGAAAAAAAGGTGAGTGAAAAAAGAAAACAGAGGAAGCCATGTTCACTCTGGGTTGCACAGAGAGGATACATCTTTATTTGATATGGTAAATGGCACCACCGTGGCCTTACTTGGGGATGAAGTATCTACCTGTCTTGTGGATTCTTTGTGGAGATGGCAGACTTCATTACAACTATACTTTTGAACCAATAAGAAGGTCGACCATCTGACCATAAGCACCAATAATGACAACAATTCATTTAACTTTTGTGAAGCTGCAGCTTCTCTCAATAAGCCTAATTCTGACTTGTATCTGCAATATTTCTCTGCACGTTTTTGCATTTTCACTTTTTTTTGCTGTATCACATTTTATATCACATATTTTGATCTATAGTTACACATCTACTGATTATCTGTAACTCAGACAAAGCAGTCTGCATTGGTGTTGAACAACTGTTAAGGGTGGCCATGATAGCATATTTCATTTAGGGGATAAGCTAGCTCTCTAGTGCCTCTGTTTGCATCAGATGGTGCAATCAGTATCCTTTTTTTTGGATGAGTGCTGAGATTAGTTTCATTTGCTGTAATGACTACCACACACGATGAGAATATTGGATGAATGATTGCCCATTTTTTTTTTGCATGCTAGTCTCATATCGAAAATGAATAAGTTATTAAAGTTAAGAAAATTCTTGTTAGACAGAATACAACTTCCCGTGTGGTTTGTAATGTATTCTTTCGTTTCTGCACATCTGCGTTCTTGGGCACTTGATATTTTTCGTACAAATACTATACTATTTACACAAAAATTGTCCGTTCTGTTATCTTACAAGAAAAATGTTTGTGCTTGTCCCTTCGGATATTTTTGCATGAACTATAGTGATTGGCTCTCAAAAAATGTGTACTAATAAATAGATCATCACACAGTCACTCTGAATACTTTTTTTTTTTTTGACTGATTTTTTGATTGTCTGTACCAGGCATAAGATACTTAAAGATAGTATACTTAGTGAATCATAAGAGTCTGAGCCACACAGATGTGCACTGGGGTAAGAGAAGCAACAAAGTACAATCACTATGCAGCATTACTAAGTAGGAAACCGCACATATGTTTGTAATTTCTGTACAGCACTGTGGAATATGTCAGAGCTGCATGAATGTATATTAACCACTTCAGCTCCTGAGGATTTACCCCCCCTTAATGACCAGGCCTCTTTTTGCTACTTGGCGCTGCACTAATTCAACTGATAATTGCGCGGTCATGCAATGCTGCACCCAAACAAAATTTATGTCCTTTTTTTCACACAAATAAAGCTTTCTTTCGGTGGTATTTGATCATCTGTGCGCTTTTTATTTTTCACGCTATAAACAAAAAAAGGCCAAAAATTTTGAAGAAAAACAATATTTTTTATTTTCAGCTATAAAAAATATATAGTAAACTCAAAGTTGGTTATAAATTTAGGCCAAAATGTATTCTGCTACATGTTTTTGGTAAAAAAAATCCCAATAAGTGTATATTGATTGTTTTTTGTGGAAGTTATAGCGTCTACAAACTATGGTATAAACACTGCAATTTACGCCATTTTTCTGCTATACAGCGCTGCGCTAGTTTAACGGACAATTGTGCGGTCATGCAATATGGTACATAAATGAAATTTACATCCTTTTTTTCCCCACAAATTGAGCTTTCTTTCGGTGGTATTTGATCGCCTGTGCGGTTTTTATTTTTTGCGCTATAAAAAAAAAAGGCTGACAATTTTGAGGAAAAAAAAACAATATTTTGGACTTTTTGCTATAAAACATGTCCAGTAAAAAAAAAATGCAAAAATCAAATTTAGTCATAAATTTCTGCCAAAATGTATTCTGCGACATGTCTTTGCTAAAAAAAAAAAAACCAATACGTGTAAATTAATTGGTTTACGTGAACGTTATAGCGTTTACAAATGGCGGGAAAGATACTGGGATTTTTAGGTTTTTTTTTTTATACTGATAATGGCGGCGTTCAGCGAATTATGGCGGCGATCAGGGACTTATGGCAGCGACCAGCGACTTATGGCGGGACTGCGGCGGACATTTTGACATTGGGGGGTACTGACTTGGGGTCACTGACATCCCCAAACACACTAATACAGTGATCAGTGCAAAAAAAAAAAAAAAAAACTGACACTGTACTAATGGCAATGGGGAGGAAGGGGTTAACTTTATTTAGCAGGGAAGGGTTATAGGAGTGAGGGGAGTGTTTTACTAGGGGGCGGGGGTGTGTGCTGGGCGGGACAAGGCTGATCGAGAAAGAAAAACTGTTCTTTCTCGATCAGCTCATCCTCGAGCTGCCAGGGAAGTGACAGACAGCACAGCTACTGCAGCTGTGCTCTCTGTCACTGTTTGCCGCCGATCGCCGGGACATAGCCGCTAAGGAGCAGCTGTGACCCGGCGACTGACATCTGCGGCAGAGAACCGCGGGACAAATAGGGCGGCGGCGCGCCCCCTATTTGTTTACAAAACACACGTCTTAAAACGTGGTTTTGCCTGTGAGTGCCGCCCTGCCGCCGTATATGTACAGTGGCTGGGCAGCATGCGGTTAACATTGCTGTGTGACTATGGTGGGACATTATAGCATAAGCTCCTATCAAAGTTCTTGGTACAGCACTGTAGATGTCAGAGTTATATAAATATGTAATAACAGTGTGTGATTGTGAGGATATTAGAGTGTAAGTTCGGTGTTCTCTGTACAGCACTGCAGAATATGTCAGAGACAAAAAAATATTTAAAATAGTGTGACTAAGATAGAGACATTAGAGTGTAAGCTCCTCTGGTTCAGAAACCGGTGTGACTGGCTTGGCATTCTTTGTGCAGTGTTATAGAATATTCTGGCACTGTATAAATGGATTAAATAAATGTTATAAATGGATGAAATACATTTTATCAACAGCAGTCTAAGCTCTTCAGGCATTCCTCGTCTTTCTGGAAGGATATGAAACAGGCACAATTGATGAAGGAACATCTGTGTTTTTGTGCTGGGCATTTTAATATGCAAATTGTCCCCAAGAGCCAGTTCTCTGAATTCCACAAACTAAACATGAAAATGACAAAATTACCATCAGCGGCTTTAAGCTGGATTATTACCTGCGCCTGCAGTGCCAGATGGAATGCTCCTTTCTTGAAAGGAAGTAAGTCGCCACTGTTGTTCCGAGTCCCCTCAGGATAAATCCAGACCTTCAACTGGAAAGAAAGCTTGTGATCACTGACAGTGTCGGAGATCAGAACAGATCAAGTGAATTTATCACTGGATTCCCATGCAGCTTCTAATAAAACTGGATCCCAATCTGGAGCCATGCAGTTCAGTGTTATATTTCAACCTGCTTGTCGTTATTTCAGAACTGGATCCCGAGTTGATTCTAAATGAATCTTAGATAATGTAATTAAAAGGAGCTCTCCTCTAGTGAGTCCGACACGGAAACCCGGAACAAGATCTTAATAGCAGGATACTGGATCTCTTCATATTTAAAACCAATTGGTTTTGAATTTAAAAATTATATTCAAATTCTGTATTGTATCCACAGAAGAGTTTCTTAAGCTTAAACTTCTGGATCCATAAGTCAGCTCTTGCGGGTTTGATATTGATTGACAAACCTACTACTCAGTACTAGGTCTCCAAGCTGGTCCTCAAGCTAGAAACTAGATCCCTATGCTATTTATATGAAGGTCAAACTAAAGTTTTAAGCCAGATTTTGGCAGCTAAATCCTGGATGCCTTAGTCATGACTTATAAGCCTTGAAATGGACCCCAGTGTCAAGAACAGGATACCATGCCAAGGTGCCAAAAGCCAATTCTTCTGACTCTAGTCCGGGGTTTCTGAGTAATTTCTGGTAGAGTCATCAACAGATCAATGACCTTGTTATTCTTATCATTGCTTTGGACACCTAGGTCCAAAGGTGTCCATAGGTCCAAAAGACTTGAGATGGTGAGGTCATCACCAATTTCTTGACCTAGGTGTAGCAATCCCAACAGATATTTAAAGCAAACCAAAATACAAGAGTTCCAAGCTAAATACTATTTTCAAGGCAATGAATAGGTTCAATTTTAATGCCTTGGAGCCAGCAGGCAAACCTGGAAAATGGCAGCATCCAATTGATGCTCCTTACATAAATATGCCTTGTGCTTTAAGGCAGGTCCCTTCTAACACTGAATTTCCAAAAGTTACAATCCTCTGAAAAGGAGCCCAAAATGTAAAAATGAGTTCTTATACATTCTTTCCAGAATGTATGAATAAAATTGGTAATTGTAGGAGATCCTAAAACTTAATGCTGAGCTCAAAGGGCCCATTTACATCTTATTATTACAGCAGGTGCGCTGTGGTGCACTGTAGTGCAGATGCATTGCCCGCTAATGTACTAGTGTGTTACATTGCCATTCGAACATGCATTTAACCACGTGTTACTGTAACACATACATGTAAATGGGCATTGAAGGTAACTCTTAAATTAACCCTTGAGTCCTTGACATTTTTAGTTTTACCATCTCGCCAATACCCATCATAATTGGAACCCTCACGACCAACAATAATACTTTTTTTCCCTCATCAGTGCTTAAAAACAGCACTAAATCTCAGCTGAAAAGGCAAATAAATAATTTTTTCATATTTCCTTGACATAATCTGCAGCATTAAATGTGCTTTCCAAATTCATTTGTCTTTCCATAACACAAATTATAAGTATATTTAAAAAGCACTGTCATACTCAGAGGCCCATTATTAATAAATGTAATAATTCACCATGCTCTGGGGACACTCGACCTGCTGTACCATGAAGTCTGAGTGCCGCCAAGTTAGCATTTTCTAGAAGAGGCTCAGCTTATTAAACCCTCCACTGAGATTTTGAACTGCCACTACTTACATTGTCAACTGTCATAGCATGTGCCACTGCTGCCATAATGGACTTGGCATCGCTTGTTCGTTTCCGATTGATGTAGATGACACCTCCAAGATAGGTGACAAGTCCCACAGAGCCAGCAAAGATCAATTCTCTCTTGGCGATCTGCACACATCGATCTGGTAAAATCTCCATCAAACCTAGAAAAAGAAATAAAAAATAGGTTTTAACAGATATGAATTAGGCAGGTATAGCTGCAATTAATGTTTAAATATTTGTAAAGCCTAAACTTTTATCTGTATCCCAATATGGGTGTTTTCATGCATTTCCTGTCCTAGAAACATAACAAGAAGTGAGAAGAAACATGCTCAGTCCCCTCTTAGCTGCCACCATAAAGGGCCCCATTGTAGTTCTAAAGGGACATGCTATGGACGCATCAGCCGGAAGAGCCACAGCAGGAAGACACAAACATCCAACCCACCTGAAGTGTCGGATATGAAGAATTCTAGTGACTCTTCCAGCTCTGCAAGAGAACACTGAATGTGATAATGGGAATTATTATTCATGAATCTTACCACTTTTTCACTAGAATGAGTGTGTCTCTCTGTGGCAGTTAACAGCAAAGGTGCCCTAGAGCTGGAAATAGCATACAGCAGGGAGAATCATTTAAGCATGGATTCCATGCAAAACAGACATTTCTTTGCTACAGGATTGCTGGCAGGCTGAATCATGCTGGTTTTTTCATATCTCTTAGGAACCCTACACCTGTAATGCACCACTAGTCCAGGTTTATTTTTACAACTCCAATTCCAAAAAAGTTGAGAGGCGGTGTAAAACTCTACATAATGCAGAATGCAATGATTTGAAAAGCTAATAAACCCATATTTTATTCACAATAGAAAATTGAAGTTTTGAAAACAAAGCAGCAGGTCTATGGGCGCAATGACATCAGGAACAATCCACTGCACAATACCGATGGATCAATGGGGTTCAGGAGCCGAAGGGACCGGTCTTGTGTTTGGAGGATTGGAGGATTAGGCAAGTATATGCCAGCTCTCCGAATCCCTAGATGAAAATGAGCAGTCAACCCATGCAGTGCAAGCACATCCCCACTGCATGGTAAAAAAAATTGCTTCTTCTTTAACTCAGAAATACCTAATGATTTCCACTAAAGCTGCTCTTCAGAAAGAAAGAAATCTGAGCAGCGCAGAAACCCTCAAGAAATGGAAAAATGGTATGTTCTGGGATTTTATTTATACCTGTATTTCAATCTGTTTATTGTTTCTGTATATGAAATTTACAACCAATTGAAGTGGAAATGTCATAGTATACAATAAAGCACTGATACAAAATCAATTTGCTACAGTGTGTTGTTCTTTGAGAATACTTCCTCAGTAATACAGCTTGATATCACTAACACCAGAGAAAATGTTATGTGAAATATTTCTCATAGTCAAATTTTAAATCCGAGTTAGACAGTCATGCCGTTCCAATATCTTAATAAAATAGTAGGAGAAAGAAAAGAAAAACACCTGTTTGTCTGTGATTCAGAACAGGGGTCAGCCAAGTGTAATAGAAAAGAGAAAAGGAGAAAGCATGAGCTTGGTGGGAGAAGTAGATAAAAGAAGAGTCAGTCTTCCCGGGTCTCAGGCATTTTGAATATAGAAGGCACCTGAATTTTTTTTTGTTGGACATAATCCAATTTAGCTTGTGTTTGACTTAATCTATAGAAATCATGGAGAGTTTCAAGTTTTTTGCTATCCCTATTCTGAGGTCAGTGATATGTATTTCACTGGTGGATTTTATATATAGGGATTTCCCTATTAAATTCATAGAACAGGGCAGTTTAAAGCTGAGTTACAGCCATTTTTGTGTTTATTAAAAGTCAGCAATTACAGTTTTTGTAGCTGCTGACTTTTTAATAAACACACAGTTACCTGTCCCAGGGTCCAGTAATGTGCTCACCTGCACCATCCCTTCCCTCCTTCTCTGCACGGTGCCGGCATCTCAACTATGGGCACCAGGCTGTGACAGCTTGCAGTTTCACAGCTGGGTGCCCACTACGCATGGGCGAGTCACGCTGCGCATCCTGATTGGTCCGGCAGTCTTGGGAAGACTGTGAAGGTTCCCAGGACACTGCAGGAGGAAGGAGGGGGCCGAAAATGCACCGTGGCGAACTGAGCCCGAAACTGGGAGTGGGTATATGTCAAAACCAGGTACCCGCTCCTCCACAAAAGGTGCCAAATATGGCAGTGGAGGGGGAGAGGAGGCAAATAAGTGGACCTTCCACTTTTGAGTAGAACTCTGCTTTAAGGTAATTTGGGTAATTAATCTTTAGGCTACGTCCCCTACGGTACATAGGCGAGCCCTGAGGGTATAGTCTAGATACAGTTGCAAGAAAAAGTATGTGAACCCCTTGGGATTACGTGGAGTTTTGCATGAATTGGGCATAAAATGTGCCCTGAACGTCATCTAAGTCACAACAATAGAAGAACACAGTCTGCTGAACATAATACTACACAAACATTAGATGTTGCCATGGTTTAATTGCACATAACATGTAAACATTCACAGTGCAGGGAGGAAAAAGTATGTGAACCTTTGGACTTAATAACTGGTTGACCCTCCTTTGGCAGCAATAACCTCAACCAAACGTTTCCTGTAGTTGCAGATCAGACCTGCACAACGATCTGGAGTAATTTTGGACCACTCCTCTTCACAAAACTGTTTCAGTGTAGCAATATTCTTGGGATGTCTGGTGTGAATCGCTCTCTTAAGGTCATGCCACAGCATTTCAATCGGGTTGAGGTCAGGACTCTGACTGGGCCACGCCAGAAGGCGTATTCTCTGTGCTGTTGCAGCCATTATTTTGTTGAATTACTTGTATGCTTTGGGTCATTGTCTGTTGCATCACCCATCCTCTGCGGAGCTTCAGTTGGTGGACAGATGGTCGTACGTTTTTCCTGCAAAATGTCTTGATAAACTCTGGAATTAATTTTCCCATCAATGACAACAATCCGTCCAGGCCCTGAGGCAGCAAAGCAGCCCCAAACTATGATGCTCCCTCCGCCATGTTTTACAGTGGGGATGGTACATAGGCGAGCCCTGAGGGTATAGTCTAGATACAGTTGCAAGAAAAAGTATGTGAACCCCTTGGGATTACGTGGAGTTTTGCATGAATTGGGCATAAAATGTGCCCTGAACGTCATCTAAGTCACAACAATAGAAGAACACAGTCTGCTGAATATAATACTACACAAACATTAGATGTTGCCATGGTTTAATTGCACATAACATGTAAACATTCACAGTGCAGGGAGGAAAAAGTATGTGAGGCCCTAGCTTAATGACTTCTCCCAGAGCTAATTGGAGCCAGGATGGAGCCAACCTTTATTCCAATCAGTGTGTGATGATATTGGATGTGTTGCTGACAGCTGTCCTGCCCTTAAAAAAACACACACCTGTTTTGGGTTTACTGGTTTCAAGAAGCACTGTCTGATGTGAACCATGCCTCGCAGAAAAGAGCTCTCAGAAGACCTACAATCAAGAATTGTTGACTTGCATGAAGCTGGAAAGGGTTACAAAAGTATCTCCAAAAGCCTTGATGTTCATGTGTCCACGGTAAGCCAGACTGTCTACAAATGGAGAAAGTTTAGCACTGTTGCTACTCTCCCTAGGCGTGGACGTCCTGTAAAAATGACTGGAAGAGCACAGTGCAGAATGCTGCATGAGATAAAGAAGAATCCCAGAGTGTCAGCTAAAGACCTACAGAAATCTCTGGCACATGCTAACATTTTTGTTGACACATCTACAATAAGGAAAACATTAAACAAGAATGGAGTACATTGGAGGACACCACAGAGGAAGCCATTGCTGTCCAAAAAGAATATTGCAGCACGTTTGAAGTTTGCAAAAGAGCACCTGGATGTTCCACAGCACTACTGGCAAAATATACTGTGGACAGATGAAACCAAGATTGAGTTGTTTGTTTGGGAAGAACACACAACACTATGTGTGGAGAAAAAAAACCAACATCAAAACCTCATCCCCACTGTAAAACATGGCGGAGGGAGCATCATGGTTTGGGGCTGCTTTGCTGCCTCAGGGCCTGGACGGATTGTTGTCATTGATGGGAAAATTAATTCCAGAGTTTATCAAGACATTTTGCAGGAAAACGTACGACCATCTGTCCGCCAACTGAAGCTCCGCAGAGGATGGGTGATGCAACAGGACAATGACCCAAAGCATACAAGTAATTCAACAAAATAATGGCTGCAACAGCACAGAATACGCCTTCTGGAGTGGCCCAGTCAGAATCCTGACCTCATCCCGATTGAAATGCTGTGGCATGACCTTAAGAGAGCGATTCACACCAGACATCCCAAGAATATTGCTACACTGAAACAGTTTTGTGAAGAGTGGAGTGGTCCAAAAGGAAACGTTTGGTTGAGGTTATTGCTGCCAAAGGAGGGTCAACCAGTTATTAAGTCCAAAGGTTCACATACTTTTTCCTCCCTGCACTGTGAATGTTTTACATGTTATGTGCAATTAAACCATGGCAACATCTAATGTTTGTGTAGTATTATGTTCAGCAGACTGTGTTCTTCTATTGTTGTGACTTAGATGACATTCAGGGCACATTTTATGCCCAATTCATGCAAAACTCCACGTAATCCCAAGGGGTTCACATACTTTTTCTTGCAACTGTATTCTAGTAGTGACCATGTACTAACGCATAAATGTTTTATCATTAGATTCTACCAGAGGAGTGTTGACCTCTGTGAAAGGTTGCTTGTGAGTTCTTGCCTGAATATCCAGAGATTTATAGAGATTGTATTCCCACTGTAACATATATGACAGTTTTTTGAATAGGTGTGGTCAGCAGGTTATATGTTTATTTATTACAGGTACTTGTATAGTACTGTCAATTTACGCAGCACTTCACACATGTAGCACTACCCTCGTAACGGCCGCTGGATTTATTTTGGATCCCCCTAAGCTCTGCACAGCCAGACAACATGCATTTTCCACACATGTATCTTGAAAGTAAACAATCCTTGAGCTTGGGTCCCAAGAGCCTGTAGTTAAGCAGTCCCAGATGAAGACTAGTTGGGTATTGCACTTGACTGCCCTCTCTCCTTATCTGGCCCAGAGGAGGTGTAGGAGTACTCACACTGTCCTTGCCTGCCAACATGGTGGG